AACAACCCCATCGTTTTACACCTATTGAAGTTGTTGGTGCTGCTGTCGTGAGTCGTCTACCCTCCTAACAACAATTTCTTAGATCCGTCCCATTACTGGCTAATCAGTTTATCACATCACTAGTCCCTCACAGATTACACACAGTCAAATATGAATGTTCCCAACATAAATGATGAAAATCAATTCAAGTTGCAACTTGGTTCCAAAATACTATATTTAGTTTTAACAACAATAAAAACCAACAGTCTATTAGGATGTACATTTTTTTTTTTATTCCAAACAATTTAACCAAGCTTGGTTGCCAGCTCCTTGGCCTTGGCTTTCTCCAGCTTCGAGATGCGGGCTGTGGACCTGGGGCCCATGATACCGCCTCCCCAGTGACGGCGAATCTGGAACAAGTTTGAAAATAGATATAATGCTGCACTTTGTTTTTTTAAACACAAACATAATTTCACTCATGGAGATACTACAGTTATTAATGCTCACCTCCTCATATCTGTCATTGTAGTTGGTCTTGATAGCTTCAACAAGCTTGGCAAGTGCACCTTTATCCTCACTAGGACAGAAAACCAGTGAATACAGTACTGACAGTTTACAGATGATGCTACCAAGCAGGACGGAATGATTTAAAAAAAGTATTCCCCCCCCCCCCCCCTTCACAAAAAAGAACCATATTATTACTGTTGTGTTCATGGCTGCAGCACACAATCCCAATATTGCATTAAATCTCACAAATCAGTAAAATTGCTAAATAGCCCTACTGTGTGAACTGGTGACAGAAATAGCCTAATATTGATCAGGAACTGCTGCAGCAGAAACTGCCCTGTACACACCAATTCCAGACAGGTTCATGGGTACTGAAATGACCCTTAAACTCATCAGAACATCTAACAGCCACACAGTCCTAGTAGTCAAGAAACTACTCAGTATATGTGCATACTTACGGGTTAACCTGTGTGAAGGCAACTGAAGTGCACGTCTTCCTGTGCACCAGTCTGCCCAGTCTAGCCTTGCTCTTTACGATACAGTATGGGACACCCATCTTGCGGCACAGAGCTGGCAGGAAGACAACGAGCTAGAAAAACACAGGAATCAAATGAGAAATATTAGTATTTCAGAAATAGATATGCAACTCCATCAAAACAACTGGCGAGTCTGACCATGAACTGTAATATCTACAATAAATGTTGATCTGTGGTCTTTGCTCAGGGTTAAAAAGCTCGTATGTTTGGATCCACACAGTGAATTCAGGTGAAGAAATTCAGACATCATCGCCAGTGACCACTTTCTAGACCTAACTGTGATCCAGTACAGCAAGTTCCACTGCTGCAGAGATAGTGAATGACAGCTTTACCTCAACTGGATCCACATCATGGGCAATGATGACCAGCTGTGCCTTTTTGCTCTCCACCAGAGAAGTGACAGTATTCACACCTGTAAGTAAGGAGAAAACAAGACTTCACTTCTGAGCAAAAGGCCCCCTGCCCTAAAACTATTTGTCATTTTGGCCAGTGCTCAGGGTTAAAAAGCTCAAAAGACATCAAGGCAAGTTTCAGGTGAAGAAATTCAGGTCATCACTGCATCCAGGCCACACTGTTAAGTTTATAAGACAGCTCCTAACATTAACAAACGGTCAGAGACAATATTCACTGGTTTGTTCCAGTTCTTTGTGATGGCAAACTCCAATAAATCAATATAAAATTATCAATTACACTAATGCCTTTAGTTCTTCTGTGCACCTCACCTGCACGGAGGACAGGGGGTCTCTTGGTAGGGGCATCTCCCTTTCCAGCAGCCTTCTGCTCAGCACGAGCCATCAGCCTCTGCTTCTTCTCCTGCTTGGTCTCTGGCCTGTACTTGTGAGCCAGCTTGAACAGCTGTGTAGCTGAGAAAGAAGAAAAAGTAAAATACAACTCACATTCAACCACAACATGTGGGCACAGAATAATATAGCAGCCGCATCAGTGATCTTGGTGGAAAAGGTCAGCACAGCTGTTCAGATACATTTTCTTTCACATCACTCGCAAAGCCACAGTGGTACTGTGTTGTGGATCCATAAGCTTTCCTTGAAATGCCACACGAACAATTTATTACCTGCTGTAATTCAAAAACTATTTAATGAAAGGGAAGGGGGATACAATTTAAGGGGTCAGTTAAATTTCTTGCAGGGGGAACCTTCAGACGCTTGTAGAGGATGGAGCGCTGCCTCTGCAGGCGAATATAACGAGGCCATTTTACAAAGCGTGTCAAATCACGCTTTGGCTGAATATCCTGGCCTGTGGGAAAAGACAGAAAACAATGTTTAGTAGCTGCCATTAACCTGAAGGAAAAGTCTTTGGTGTTGTGTGTGGGGTGCATCAGCGATCTTGGTGGGAAGTTGTCTTCAGTGTTGTTAAGATAGCAAATATTCTTTCACATCATCTGCACCATTACATTTTCCAGGTCTTCCAAAATGTCATCTTTGGCTACTTACCGATGCCAAAGTTCTTTGGCCTCTTCTCAAACAGGGGGTTAACAACTTTCTTGGCCTCATGCTTCTTGGCCACAGAAGGGGCAGGTGCCACCTTCTTCCCCTTAGCCTTTTTTCCCTTAGGCTGTCAGGAAGAAAACAGTATTAGGATACATTGAAGGGAGTCGTTTGAACCAACTTCGCTAGTTTAAAGCCGGGCCTATTGCTATGTATGAGGTAAATGACTTTAATCTAAATTTGATGTGAATAATTCTTGCACTGCTCCAAATCTGGGCTTTAGCATTCACTGCTCCGTGTGCAGGTGAACGTCGTCCATTGACTATTAGTTTCTTAAAAATGTTTCCAAAGCACATCAAGCATAAATCTCATAGCTGGTCACTCTATACTGATGTTCACGACATACAAGTTAGCACAAACCATGTTGAATACGATGTAACCCAACATGTTAACGATGTAGTTTCGATGCTACCACTGTAAAACAAATTTACAAACCCGAACATTTTTCAAGTATATAGCTACAAAACACAAAAACGTGGATTATATGTGTGCTACGGTGCTATCTATGGCGTTAGCTTAAGCAATATTACCAACACAAGCAATGCTCAATCCCATTACCTTAACAATACCTGGTAAATCGATGGACACACAAAAAAGTCCCGTTGTCTTCCCACTGGTGATATTAAATGCTGGTACAACTCATAAACACCCCGAAACCGTGTAATATTTGGGCCAACGTGCTCCCAAAATCAAGCGTGTTCACCAACGTTAGCTTTAGCTGATAACAGGGAGTCATTCGTACCGGGTACACTAGGGTCACTTCAACTGAGTTCTACTCAAAAACACCACAACATCTACGAACAATATTGACACTATATCTACAAACACGCTTCGCTGAATTCGTCGATACATTCTACAATATAGGATTAGGCACAAAAAGATAGATGTAAACAGATACAACACCTACAACATTTCTACAGACGAAACAGCTATGCACCTACCATGTCGGTTCAGGCAGAAAGGAAGAGCAAGGCATTCTGGGTAGCGTTAATACCGCGAGGTTGGCGGTGTACGTGGCCTCAAGCGCTGTTCTGAAATCAGATGTCAGAATGACTCGCCGCTTCTCTTTTATAGTTTTAAAAATTAAGTCACTGACTTAGGATCCGTGTTACAGTGTCAGTCTCAAAATTTCCATAATCTTTTAAAATAAATTATACAATGTACATTAGTCATTTGATTATACATTTTAATAATAGTAATAATATTTTCTTATTTTAAAACTTGAATCCTTTCAATTTAATATGAATTTATTCTATTTACTAAACTTTACTAAAAGATCTCACTGTGAGCTTGGGGACCCATTTAACCGAAGCACAAAGTACGTCACTTCCATAAACAACAAAATACATAATAATTATATAGCCTACTGTATATTAATGATTATATCTAACAGTAGCTAATTCTATCTATCTAGTTTCTGTGATATTAGCAAATACATGATAAAGATACACTATCTACTCTGCACCACACAAAGACAGATACAGTTAATAGCTAAAGCTTGTGAACAGTTAACTGGAACATTAGGATGCTTAAGAGCCAGACATTTCCCTCAGACCCAAATCAGAGCTAAAAGAATGTAAACACTGGACTTAGACTTGACAGATGGACACATCACTGTGTGTCTGCTGGATGTGAAAACAAGCAGCTGTTTGCTGAGTCTGCCATATCAGCTTAAATGGTGATGATATTGTATTTTTCTATTTATGGTATCGATACACCTGCATATTAAGCCATCAATAAATAAAGGAGACCAGACAAGCAGCTGCAAGGGTTGTTTGTATGTTTATGTGCTTTATTGCAATAATGTATTTGCATGTTGATATCTATTTAAACACACACATTTGTTTTTCTATAGTTGTGAGGACACTCATTCTGCCAAACCCCAATCTAAGATGAACCTAATTCTAACCCTAACCCTAAAGCCGAACGCTAACCCTCAAACAGCCCTTTGGTATTGCAAGGACTGGCCAAAATGTCAACACAACAGCAGCACTGAACAAAAATTTGTCCAGACACCCACAGAAAGACACAGAAACACACACATGTGGATCATTATCTATGGCTAAAAAAAAACAAGAACTTTTGAACAATAAACACTAAAACACATGAGGAAATCATCTATTTCTTTTTACAATCATCTATTGCAGAACAGAACAATCATTAGAGAAACAGATTTTTTTTTTTTTAACAGTAAAACTTCCAGTAGTTTGCTGTGATATGTCATGAACTGACAGCAAAGGTCAGTAGGAGGAAAGTGATAATGCTGGTAGAGACATGCTGAGAATAAACCAGGTGTGTATTTAGATGGATCAAATGGATGGACGGACAAGACGGCGATCTGTTCTCCTCCTTCTCCTCCTTTTGTCCCATGGGTGGCTTGTTGATGACAAGATGCTCCCCTATTCATAGAAGATGCGGTGTCTAGAAAAAGAACGAAGCAGAAGAAGGAAGAGGTTCATTATCCTGGGGTTTGCGTTATGTTACGCTACTCCTACTAGACTTCCTGCTTGAGAGAGTCCCTGTTTAGCAGCAACTAAAGGCATCATAAAAGCATGTAAGAAGAAAAATATATTATATAGAAAATTTCTGAAATCACTATGTTCAAAGTGTTTATTTTGTCATATGCACAGTTAGGAAACGTGTTTCCCTGTACAATGAAATTCTTACTTTGCTGTCCACATGAATGCCACAAAATACAAATGAAATATAAAGTAGATAAATAACACAAAATCTAAGGCACTTTAAGCAGCAGCAGATGCAGCAATATAGTAAAAAAAATATGTAGATATATATATACAAGAATATAACAATGTACGCTGCATGGGAGCAGCATGTGCAGCAGTCAACAGTCATTGTGCAATTATGCATGTACAAACTGAGAATGTAAACAATACAACACGTATTTCCTGGTAATAAACTCCTCAGCTGTTTAGGAGTCTGATAGCAGAGGGAAAGAAAGAGTTTTTCAGTCTACTGGTCCTGCATTTCACACTTCTGAACCTCTGGCCAGAGGGTAGTGGCGTTAACAGTCCGTGCTGGGGATGGGTGGGATCTTTGAGGATGAGGCAGCTTTCCTATGCACCCTGTGGTGGTAAATGCTCTGCCGAGAGGGCAGTGGAGTCCTGGTGATCTTCTCCACAGTCTTTACCACTCTCTGCAGGCACTTGCGGTCCATAGTAGTAGTGCTGCCATACCAGACGGTGATGCAGCTGGTCAAGATGCTCTCAATGATGCAGCTGTAGAAGTTGCAAAGGATCCTAGGCGACATGCCATGAGCAGCCATTTCTCCATTACACACAGTCATGTGACCCAGAAGAGGGTTTTTATATTTAATTGGTAGGTGGTCAACATCTGTGACATTACCAAGCAGGCAGAGTGACAGGGATGGGGGGGATTCTACAGCTCAAGATGGTGGAGTTTCTCAGTCACCGTAAAAACCAATTTTTGCAAAATCATGCCATCCATCCATCCATCCATTTTCTTCCGCTTATCCGGGACTGGGTCGCCG